AGGGAACTTGTTTCTTTACCTGGAAAACTGATCTTGATGTGGTCATAAACAAGGCAATGCTCTGAAGTAAAGGGACAAGAACATCAATAGTTTAGCTCTCTGAGCTGCTCATTGACTAACCAGGGAGGACTGTAGCTCTGAGTGTGCTATCAGGGGACAAATGTGGCTCAGTTCATGTTTTCTGCTACTAATAAAGTTTATTTCTCTATATTAAACTACTGAAGGAACATAAAACAGGTGGTGTGTGTAAATTATGAGATGCTGGGGCCGTTAATTCATCAAGCAGCGTGGTGGAGATCCCTCATGGAGCTTCCAGTCAGAGCGGCATCTCTGACAGGTCAGATATAACAGAGGTGGATAAATACAGCGGGAGGTGGGTGAGGCAGCGTGAGGGAGAGAACAGGGAGAAGTTAGCTTGTCTTCCCGTATTACTAGAAACAGACCGCAAAGAAACACTCCGACACTCGTCGGGCTCTGCAGCTCTACACGGATCTGACAGAGGCAGCTTAGGGACGCAGTCCTGTCCATCAGCCAGCATGTTCACACACACACACACATGCACGGATGCACACACACACACACTCATGCACACAGACGTGCACACACTCAATGAAAACCTGACAAATCCACACAAGACCAAAGCGGCGTTTGTTTATTATTCCCTTTAACAAGGAGAAGTTTTGTAGAGGAGCTCCTCAAACGTGTTCATCCTGCCGCATTTATTTTTATTTATTTTCTTATGTATTTATGTAAGAGAATTCACACCCTGAGATGTACCATGTGGTTTAGGAGGAGGGGGGTCCTCTTTACAATAAAACTCATAAAAAGAGAAAACATAGTCGTAGATAGTTTAGTGTTTGTCCCAAAAGACAAATTAAACAGTAAAAACACGCGTGGATCTCTCTTTAAGAAGAAAAATCCTCAGTTCATAAAATAAACTGTAGCAGTAATGAAGAGTGAGGCGGTTTCACCTCCAGACTCCAACTTGCTTGGAAACCCGTTTTGACTGGAGTCTCCCTCTCGTGCTGTAATGATCCAAGTGTCGCCCAGAGCAACACTCGCTTCATTTCAAAAAGGAGATAATTCTATGAACCGTTTAACAACGTGATTCACTTTCAACGTGCTGTTTGTCGTTGACAGTTTGTTGTTGTTTTGGGTCAAAAAGGACCAAAACAACAGGAAGAGAGTTCTGTGCTGTGAGAACAAACAAACGAGCTGAAATAAAAGTTCTAATAAGCTTTTGGACCCGAGCAGAACGGCACCATTAAACAAAAAGGATCCCAGCCACCAAACTCTCTTCTAAGTATTTGATTTGAAGCTTTACATCACTGAGTTACAGACATTCAGCAGAAAGTTTCTCACTGGAAGCGAAGCGGCACGCATGAATCTCAGAAAACGTCGTTAGTGAGGTCAGCTGGATTCAGTTCAACAACTTTAATTCAGTCGTCGGGACACTGGAGCCCCGCTATTAAACACCTGTTCCCAGGAGTCTGGATGTAAATATTCAGCATTAGAGGAGCTGTTCGTCGTCCGTTCTGCACGCCAAACGTCTCCTAACATGCGTTTGCTTCCTAAACAAGACTGCTGATTCTTTTAAGACATAAAGCCTCACGTCCAGTGATGTGTGTGTGTGTGTGTGTGTGTGTGTGTGTGTGTGTGTGTGTGTGTGTGTGTTGCATGAAGGGCCGGCTGTTCTTCCACATGCAGTGATTTTGTTTGCAGGAGAGTTGATGTGTTAAACTTTCCTCCTAATTCATTTCAGTTCATAATAAGAATTATGAACAAAAGCCAGGCGGTTTTTATTTTATTTTATCAGTTTATTAGCTTCTATTGGGAGATCAGGGATGCTTCAGTGTTGCAAAGATTTTTAGGGAGAATTTTTGTTTAAGAAGTCCAATTTTTAAAAAGTTGTATTTTGATGCTCATGATGGTTGAATTTCATCGAGCGTTATGTTATTATTAAAAACGTGATCGTGTATTCCAGGTCATTACTTTCTTTGTTATTGTTGACTTTGGGTGTTTGCAATATTTCACATGTTTAGTTTTCACCTGTGTCATGTGACCACCCGAGCTGAACTGAATGGGCCGGTGGTGGCTCATGGCTGAAGGGGAGTTGTCCTCCAGTCCGAAGATCATAGGGTGGGTCCTCAGTCCTGGCAGGCCCCGCTGAAGCGTCCTCGGGGACAGGCTGAACCCCAAAGTCGCCCCGGTTCCCGGGCGCGATACAGATTGTGGCCCGTGGTTCCTACCGCTGGCTTTAGCGTGACCTTCGTCACCTCCCTCTCCTTATTCTGCTCTTTCTACTTATTTCGTCTTTCCCGGGATCCACTGATTTCCCTCTTTCCTATGAATTTTCTCGCTCCCTTTGCTCACAATAAAATATTTTTTATCACAATAAAATATATTTTTCTCATTTTAAACATATTTTTAAAACAGTTTTGAAATCTTTTTTATACTTCCATTGTTTTTGTTTTTGTTTTGTTTGTGAAGCGCCTCGTGG